GAGAATCTCCTAAGCCCAGGAGTTGGAGGTTGCTGTGAGCTGTGTGATGCCATGGTACTCTACCAAGGGTGATACAATGAGATTGTGTCTCTACCAAAAAAAAAAAATTTACTTTTGGAAGTTAGAAACAACTTTATTTTTTAATTTTTTTTAATTTTTTTTTTTTTTAAATAAAGAGTCTCACTTTATCACTCTGGGTAGAGTGCTGTGGTGTCACAGCTCACAGCAAGCTCCAACTCTTGGGCTTAGGTGATTCTCTTGCCTCAGCCTCCCGAGTAGCTGGGACCACGGGCGCCCACCACAATGCCCAGCTATTTTTTGGTTGCAGTTTGGCTGGGGCCAGGTTTGAACCCACCACCCTTGATATATGGGGTCAGTGTCCTACCCACTGAGCCACAGACACTGCCCCAGACAACTTTATTTTGTATCATTGTCTTCCTTGTTTTACAGGGGTTTTTTTGTTTGTTTTTTTGAGACAGAATCTCATATTATGGCCTTCGGTAGAGTGCTATGGAGTCACAGCTCACAGCAACCTCCACCTCCTGGACTTAGGTGATTCTCTTGCCTCAGCCCTCAGAACAGCTGGGACTACAGTTACTCGCCACAACGCCCAGCTATTTTTTTGTTGCAGTTTGGCTGGGACCGGGTTCAAACCCTCCACCCTCGGTATATGGGGCTGGGGCCCTACTCACCGAGCAACAGGCGCCACCCTTCTTCCTGATTTTATAAAGACTTATAAATTTCTTCAAAATATATTTGGCACTCAAACATAAAAATTCAAATTCTACCCTTCTCAGAAGTATTAAGAGGGATTATGCATAAAGAAATACCTGCAAATTATTTCATTTTTCCTTATGAGAACATGTGGATGTGACTTAGTTTTGTGTTTCATTCTTGTGGGAGTACATCTATGGGATAAATTCTTGTGTACTAACTGGACCAAATGTATCCTCCTACCTCAGCCTCTCAAGTAGGAGGGACTATAGACATCCCCACCACTATGCCCAGCTAGTTTTTCTGTTTTTAGTAGAGACAAAGTCTCACTCTTGCCCAGGCTGGTCTCCAACTCCTGTGATCAAGCAAACCATCCGCCTCAGCTTCCCAGAGTGCTAGGATTACAGGCGTGAATCAGCCCAGCCCTCTTTTTTTATTGTTTACTTCTAAGAGATATATATTAAAAGTAATTTTAAAAACCAGATAAAGATTTAAGCCGTATATATTTGAGCTTATTTCTGAACTCTATGCTGTTGCAGTGGTTTGTGTCTTTACCCTAAGTTCTGTACTGTTTTGATTATTGCAGTTATTTTTATAGTAAGTTTTGCAATTGGATATGACTCTTCAAATTTTGGTCGTCATTCTCAAACTATTCTAAGTGTTTTGCCTTTTTTATATGAATTTTAGGATCAGGTTGCCAAGTGGAATTATCTTGATTGTGTAGATCAGTTTGAGGAGAATTGATATTTTGCAGTGTTGAATCTCTATAAATGATTATTTCTTTTATGTTAACTACATCTTTTTTTTCCTCATCAGAGTTTTGTGGTTTTCAGCATACAAATTCTGCATATGTTTTTAGATTTAAGAATGTCATGTTTTTAATGCTACTCATTATAAGTTATGCTTTAAAAAATTCAATTTCCAGTTGTGCTTTGCCAACATGTACAGCTGATTTTGTATATTGCCTTTGTTTTTTGCTACTTTGATCAAGGCACTAGTTTCAGTAGCTTGATGTAGATTCTTTGGCATTTCCTATGTAGATGATGTCATTGACAAATGAAAATTGTTTTCATTTTCAATCTGTATCCTCTAATATCTTCATATCATTGGACTGACATTAGATTTGTTTATAAGTCTCACTAGATTGGTCTGGAGGCTCATTTAGAGTAGACAGGTTTGTCGTTCCCTTCCTGTTTCTTCCGCCCCTCCATCCCTCCTCTGCCACTCCCATCACCTCTCTTCCTCATACCCCTTCCTCTCTGCCTAGTAACTTTAAATCTTACGGTAGCCTCACCATAGTCCTTCAGGCTGGCCTTACAGATCCAGGTCTCTTAATGGTATGTGGTTAAGTGCAGCCTTGGTCTGGGGATGTAATCATCTGTGTTCAGGTCCCTAGGCTGTCTCTGTTCTTTTGTAGCTTTAGACAGCACTAGCCTAAGGCTCTCTTTCAGGCTCTCGGTGAGGCCGACCAACCATCCCTATATAAGCCAAGCTCTAGTCCTTGTCTGAGGCACTTTTAGTTCTTTTCTCTTCAGAGCTGAGGTCTTGCGGGCCTGATGTTTGCTTTTCTTTGTCCTTTGTGTGTTTGTGTTTCATTTGTGTTCTACGGGACTGACTTTGTGTTGAATCCCAGGCATGCCTGTTTTGGTTTCCTCTCAAAATATATTTTGTCTACTGTTTGTGGAATAGAGGCAGATTTTGGATTATGAACTGATTCATCATTACCATAATTCTCTTGTTCTTCTAAATGTCTTTTCCTTGACTGTCTCCTATTTTGTGTATACATTTTCCTCTTATAGCTTGAGTTGTTTAAAAGTCCTCTTCTTTCTCACGGTAATACTTAAATTTCCTGGGAATACTCAATGTTCCCCTTATTTTGAATAGGCTGAATATTTTCTTTCTTT